ATCTCTGGGMCCATCCTGAGGTGCTGCTGGCCATGGGCTGGGTTTGTGTGGCTTTGTGTGACACCAGGACTGTCCAGTGCCACCCCTGGCTGTCACACTCTGCCTCTGGTSCTGGCTCAGCCCGTTCCTAACAAGACCAGTGGGATTTTCAGCAGAGCCAGCCCTCAGGACCTGGCCTGTTTAATTTGTGACAAACACCACTCTGCAGGTCTCCTGCCTGCCACATCCTCAGGGCTCCCTTCCTTGGAAGAAAAAGTTGGGCTGTTTCTTTCCCGGATGTAATTATTTTCAGTTGCACAGTGCTCACTTATTGGTAAAATGTTAAAATGCACCATGTGCTGGGTGTTTTGGACAGTTCAGTGTGCGTGTGTTTGTGTGTGGATAAAATAGAACTAAAAATTATTTTTTTTTTCTGTAAAAGTTGATTATCTGATACCTTCAGTTGTCCTGGCTGTGAGCAGAGCATCTCTTCAGGMAGGTTCTGCTGAGGATTGGGTGGCACAGCAATGGTGAAACAGGGACCAGCCAGAGCTGCCAGCACACAAAAAATGTCATTTGTGAAAAACATTTCTTATTTCAGTGTCTAGAATGCCACATGGGGACAGGCTGCAGTCTGTGCCCCAAGCACACCAAAGAGTTGGTTCTCTGAGGCATTTCCTAAATCCCATTTTTCAATCCATTTGTCCAGCTGACTTTATATCAAACCACATTTGCATGTGTCAGAAGTTACAGGGGTGCTCATTAAATCACTCAGGTGATGGTAAATGCCTCTCTCAGCTCAAAGACAGCCTTGGCTTTGCAGTTTTTTTATTTGTTTTTATTTGCAGTGAGTTTGGACAGCCCAATCTGGTGCTGCTGAAAGGATCCATCCTCCAGGATGAAAAGGGGCCCTCGAGGCTGAACCCAGAGCTCATGGCCTGGAGGAAGCTCTGTTACCCCCTGAGATATCAGGGGATCTCTGTTTCTGGCTTTTCCAGAATCTCCAAAACCTTGAGCAAAATCTGAGGCTCAAATTCCCYTTTTTTTGGCCTTAGCAAGGCTCTTTCCTGCAGCTCTGATTACAAAGAATGCTGAGGCTCTTTGAGTCTGATGGGAACATTGGAGAAATCAGGAGAGTGAATCAAATCCCTGAATCAATGAATCAATAGTGAATCAAACCCCTGATCAATGAATCAATGAGTGAATCAAACACCTGAATCAATGAATCAATAGTGAATTAAACACCTGAATCAATGAATCAATGAGTGAATCAAACACCTGAATCAATGAATCAATGAGTAAATCAATAAATCAATGAATCAATGAGTGAATCAATGACCTGTGGGGATTGCCATGGGACGGCTCAAGGGACACATTTGGTTTGTCACCTTTTCCTTTAATTCTAAACATCTTTGCTCATTTGGGATGTTCATCTGCTCTTCCCTTTCGGGGCTGGGAAAGGATCAAAGCCTTTGTGGGGAAGATCAAACCTCTGGGTTGTGGAATCCCGGGATTTTTGTTGCTTTGAGGAAGGAAACATGAACAATCCATGCTCTGGGGACTCTGCTCACCTGGCAGGGCACCTCACCAGCTTTAACACACAATGGTTCAGTCAGTTTAAAAAAAAAAAAAACAACCACATGAACATGATGTTTATTTCTCCAGCAAAATCTGTTTCTCTCAGTCTCTCATTCTGCTTCTCTTCTGAAGACTCAAGTCTTTATTTCAGACATCTGCCTATAGAAAATAAGTATTTTTTTAAAGGGCACATTAAAAGATGAAAACCGAAGCTCGAATAACTTAATCAGCATACAAATTACACAGATATAAAAGTTGTGTTTCATCGTCTTAACTTACAGTTTATTTTGTACAGAATTCATTATGTTATACATCTAAGACTTATTATATTGTATAAATATCGGGGCTGTGATGTATATACATATCCAGTGTTGTCATTCAGCARTTAATGAATGCATTTCACAATTTCACTGCAGTTATTCCCATGTGGGCAATGATTGATACTCCATAAAAGAGCACATGGAAATGGCCATTTCCTTCACCCTACAGCACCGGGGTTTGTGGGGTGTCTGTAGGGCACACCGGGGTTTGTGTGCCATGGGCTCTGTGGGGTGTTTGTAGGGCACACTGGGGTTTGTGTGCCATGGGCTCTGTGGGGTGTTTGTAGGGCACACTGGGGTTTGTGTGCCCTGGGCTCTGTGGGGTGTTTGTAGGGCACACCAGGGTTTGTGTGCCATGGGCTCTGTGGGGTGTCTGTATGGCTCTAAGGTCTCGTACATTCCCCAGGATGAGTTTGGGAGCAGCAGCTCCAACTGTGGGTGCTGTGGGCACAGGGGAGCAGAGTGGGGGCACTGGAATCATTGGGGTGAGCTGGGCACAGCCCCGGAACCCATTGGGAGGAGCAGGGCATGGTCAGACCCCTAGTTCATTGGGGTGAGCAGTGCCCCAGAGCCCATTGGGGTGAGCAGGGCCCTGGAACCCATTGGGGTGAGCAGGGTGCAGCCCCAGAGTCCATTGGGGTGAGCAGGGCACGGCCCCAGAGCCCATTGGGGCCCCAGAGCCCATTGGGGTGAGCAGGGCATGGCCCCAGAGCCTATTGGAGTGAGCACAGCACAGCCCCAGAGCCCATTGGGGTGAGCAGGGCACAACCCCGGAGCCCATTGGGGTCCCAGAGCCCATTGGGATGAACAATGGGATGCACTGGGAGGGAAGGGAAGGCTCAGCACAGATGG